ACTTGCCTGGCAAATGCCAGGGCCTGAGTTCAATCCCCGGTTCCCCCCGCCCCCCCAAAAAAAAGAAAAGAAAAAGAAAAAAATAGATATTACATCAACCACTGTTAATCCACTATTCTTTTTTTTTTTTTTTGGTGGAACCAGGGATTGAACTCAGGCCCTTGTGCTTGCCAGGGAAGCGCTTATTCTACTGAGCCATCTCCCCAGCCCCCAATCCACTATTCTTATTTTGAAAAACTGTAACATAGGGGCTGGTGAGATGGCTCAGTGGTCTAAAGCACCTACTTAGAACAAGCTTAGCAAAGCACAGGGACAGCGGTTCAATCCCCCAGCACCACATGCCAGCCAGCCCCGCCCCCTGGTGTGCTGAGCTGGCCACACACACACACACACACACACACATAAATAAAATAAAATTTTTAAAAAACTGTAACATATGCATTGTTGCATGTTACCCTGTTTCTGATTTTTCTTCTTGCTTTTGTTTTTCTCTTCAAAATTAAATTAAATTTAAAAAGAACACCAGCAGATATGTATTTATAATAAAAGGGAATAAAGACAGGGAAGTGTGGACTACATCTGCCTCCCTGAGTACGAAGAACCTTCAAACATGCACAATCAGGTTAAAATCGGGAAAGTTAATGAGTAGTTGGAATTGTGCTAAGCATTGGGGAAAGCATTCCGGGGCTGTGCACTGTCATCAAGGAGGGCTTGGAACCACGGGGAGGTTAGCATTCATGCCCTGTAATAGTAAGAGAAGGCAAAGGAGAGCCTGTAGATTGGCATGGAACCAGCCATGTAAAGTTGCAAGAGATCTGTATTTTATTTATTTATTTTTGGTGGAACTGGGGATTGAACTCAGGCCCTTGCACTTGACAGGCAAGCACTTATTCTACTGAGCCATCTCCCTGGCCGCTAGATCTATATTTTATTTTTTAAAATTTATTTATTTATTTATTTTGTGTGTGTGTGTGTGTGTGTGTGTGTGGCCAGCTCAGCACACCAGGGGGCGGGGCTGGCTGGCATGTGGTGCTGGGGGATTGAACCGCGGTCGATGCATTTTTGCTTAGCTTGTTCTAAGTAGGTGCTTTAGACCACTGAGTCATCTCACCAGCCCCTAGATCTATATTTTAGAAGGAGGACTTGGAGGCCAGCTGTGGTGGTGCAAGCCTACAATTCTCAGCACTGGGGAGGCTGAGGTGAGAGCCTTGATTGCAGTTCAAAGCTGCCCAAGTTACAAAGCAAGCTCCATGCTGCTGGTACAGCATAGTAAACCCTGTCTCAAAAAAGACAACGAATAAACAAATGAATCTCAGCTGTTACAGCAGATGAAGTGAGGTGGGAGAGGCAACCTGATCAACCACTGAGGTTTTGGGTTTTTTTTTTAACCACTGAGCTTTTAAGAAGACCAAAGAAACAAGGATTTTTGACCAATAAGTAAAAAAGAAAAAAGTAAAAAAGAAGAAAATATCACAATGACTTTTTTTTTTTTTTCAGAACCAGGGATTGCACTCAGATCTTTGTGCTTGCCAGGCAAGTCCTTATTCTGCTGAGCCATCTCCCTGGCCCATCACAGTGACTTTTAGGTTTGGGTCTGGCTGACTAAATGCTGTAGGGAAAAACAGTAAGACTACAGAAGGAGAAGATTTACATTTTATCTTTTTAAAAAATTTTTTTGGCCGACCCAGGGATTGAACTCAGGCTCTTGCACTCGCCAGGGAAGCACTTATTTTACTGAACCATCTCACCAGCCCCAAGATTTACATTTTAGTATAAACTCAAATGTGCAAGTATCTGGGAATTTCATAACACACATTCGCTAAAAAGTGCATTCGCTAGAAAGATGGGCAGGCTTTCCCAATGCGTGTAAGGTACAAACTTGGCAAAGGTGAACCTGCAGGAGGGAGGACGGGAGGGAAGGAAGGATGGCCGGAGCACAGCAGGAGCCAGACGCCCCAGCCAGACCCGGCGGCAGCGGGCGCCGCGCCGCGGGGTTCCTGCCAGCAGCTGCTGCGGATCGCGGGGCCGCAGCTCTCGGGCCCAGCCGCTGCCGGGGGCTCTGGGGCTCAGTTCTTAAATTCTGTTTAACTGATTCAGAAGAGCAATAATGTTGGACCACACTTAATGTTTAATTCAAGGATTAAATGCGGTATCAGTTCAAGGACAGACATTCAGATAAAAGGAGTAATATGATGTGGGGAAGGCAGAATTTGTCTAACATCCCAAGGAAATTTAGTGGGGAAAGGCAAGCGGTTGGAACGGAAGGGAACCAGAATGTCTAAAATCCTGCACCAAAACAAAACTGAGTAAGGACATTAAATGCCCACTCTAGTTTTGTGCTGTAATTAATTCAAAACTTATCAAAGATTCAAATGATAATTTTTTACTTTTGAGGTATTGGACAGTGAGCCCAGGGAGTTCCTCTGAGCTACATCCTAGGCATTTTTGTTGTAAAATCTCTCCTTGCCCAGGCTGACCTTCAACCTGCTGCCTTCAACTCTCAAGTAGTTGAAATTTCAGGCATGCTCCATCATAACCAACACAAATCTCAGCATGCAAAACTTTTAAAGAAAATCTTATGGGCCATCTCTGTGACTCAAGAGTAGCTCAAATTAGCTGAGAATACAGTGTCACGAGGTAGGAAAGGACTGTCTGGAGCAGCCCGGACTTTGTTCCTTTCTCCCTTGGGAACAGGATATCCTTTAGAGCTTCCCCAGGAAGTCACGTCGCCTTTGGGGAGTTAATCCAGATGGGTCTGCTTTGGGGGTCCTTCAGCTGTAACAAAAAGATACACTTGCAGTTGAGACTCCGGATACTCTGGGCAGCTTTAGGGGCAGATGGAGCCTTGTTTGATGGCCTCACAATGTGTCCTACACTTCCTTGTGCCTTGCCTTCTGTTTGGGAATGTGTTATCTGTTCACATCATCATTTCTTGCGAGGTTGTTCTGTCTCTCTAGGCTCAGTCAATTGTTAAAATTGTAGCCCAGGATCCAGAGGGGATGTGTTCAGATGACTGTTTTTGGTGGTTGTGACAGCGATGATCTCTGCTACCCTCCACACCGTAAAAGTCCTCCGTTGGGACTAGTTATTAGTGAACTTGCTTCCCAAAATTGGCGCAATGAGCAGTGCCTGGCCTTACACAACCATTGCTTTCTAAAAAAGTGGCAGAGGTGAGATCCTTGGTGCTGAGCTGAGGACAGAGATTTCAGCCTGCAGACAGAACCTGGATGTTCAGCTGCATGGGCTGTAGGGAAGGATTAGAGATCAAGTAATACAAGGTGTTTTGCCCTTCATAGATGTGAATGAGCTGGCTGCATGTACTGAGGCAGAGAGAAAGGAGAGAAACAAACAGCAGATCAGCTGTTTCTGTCCTCTGATCTTTGTGCTCTTCTGTGATCACTATTTTCAATGCCTGAGACCTTGGGATACAGACATTCGGATAGATGACCCTTCAGGCAGGAAGGGAAACTAGAGTACACAATGGGGACCTCCACTGATGAAGATAATCGCTATCTAAAAAACAGATAAAGTTAAATAAATAAAAATCAGAGAGAGATAGAAGAAAGCCAGGTAATTCTTATCCCATCAGGTAGTTTGATGAAAGGGCTGTGTAGACGCTCTAGTGTCCTGGGTTGAAGGATACAGTCAGGATTGCAGCCAAGCTCTCTGAATCCTCACCGGAGGCCTACACCCATACACACATCCCGGATAAAAGGGGTGCCAGATATGGTGCCTCATCCACTCTAAAGCGCTTAGAGCTTGTCAGCCAAATCAGAGGAGTCATCATCCTAACAAAATAGACCACCTTTCGCAACCATCTGTACTCAAGTGACCCCTAACTATGTGCCCATTCAGCCCAAGAAAGCTATGGATATTGCCACTTTGTCCCTTGTTGATTTGACTTTGCTGGTTCATTGGGTGGAAAATATAGTGGTGTCCTTGGAAAATGAAGAGGATTAACCCCCTTGGAAGATTGCAGACCAAGACATTCCACTCTTGCAAGCAGCCAAAAGGAAACAACAGACCTTTGACTCCAGGCCCTTTTGCTCCTCCCCAAAAGTCCCTGGACCCTCTTCTGAACAACTCTTTATCATTTGCTTATCTAAAGCTAAAAGCCTTCTGTGGGCCAGAGCAGGGCCTTTGGGAATGGAATTGCAAACAGGATTTTAAGTAAACACGGGAGCTTGTGGGCTGGCTACGTGCTAGACACTAAAAGGCCCAGTAAAAAGACATTCTTTAGATAAGCACACCCATGTCCCAGACCCGTTTTCCTATATCTCCAAACCCTCATAAAACTGCACTTACGTAAGTTGCAGCAATAAAATTAATTTTTAAAATATTTCTCACATTAACTACATGATTCTACCCTTCGAACTCCAACTGCTGTCTCCTTTGCCAGGGTCCCCCGATAGAAATAAACTTGTTTTGTTTTCTTATAAGAAAGGAAGCAGCAGCAGCCTTTATGTTCTGAGTAAGATGGGAATGTGGGCACACCCATGAGAAATGATGAAATTCCTCATGCATGCTCTCAGCTGCGGGCCAGTGAACTACTTAATGATGGAGGAGCTGGTTCGCAAAGAAATTGTAAAAAGGACAAAAAGGACCCTCAATCTGGCGACTTTGATACTAAACACTGTACTCAAAAGCAAGGAAGCAAGGTGTTGCTGTGGGCGCTGGACACACAGCGTGTTGGGGCTGGAGTGGGCCAGGCTGATGTCGATCCGCTGCCTAGGAAGCCTAACATCAGTGTTTAACCCTTCTTCCTTTTAAAGTCCATATTCTGTGGATAGTCTGCAGTTTAGGTGATCAGGGACCACCAGACATGGCCTCCTAATTTCGAGAGAATTCTTCCTCAGGGACACCCCGCCCATCCTCTGTGGAATTCCATTGCAGTGAGGAACAGGAGCAGTAATTACTAGAGTACAAGCTCCCTCTGCTGGTGCTGGGGACCTCTGCTCCTTCTAGCTTGCTATTTCTTTCTTTTTCTTTCTTTTTTTTGACATCGAACAGGTGACGAGCCCATGTCATAACAAGGTTTGAGGGAGGCACAGCTCATGTATAAGGCATGAATGCCCAATCATCACACTCACGAACCAAAAGATCACAAGGGTTTTCTATACTAGTAGAAATAGTCACTCAGGACAAGGACATACTGAGTGGGTCACAGTAATTCTGAGAAAGGCTGGAGTTGGGGAGGGGTCACTAGCCCCTCAATCTTATCTTTTTGCAGTGGAAGAGCTGTGAGGCCTGGAAGCCTAAAGTCCTTCATAAGCTTTTACAAAGTGCAGCTAACAAAGGATATGTTTATGGAAAGTCATTGAACTGTCTGTTGGAAAAGAATGAATTTTGGGGGGATAGCTCAGTAGAATAAGCGTTTGCCTGGCAAGAGCAGGGTCCTAAGTTCAATCCCTAGCACAGAAAAAAAAAAAGAAAGAAAGAAAGAAAGAAAAAGAAAAAAGAAAAGAGGGGCCGGGGAGATAGCTCAGTGGAATAAGCACTTCCCTGGCAAGCGCAAGGACCTGAGTTCAATCCCCAGTTCTGGAAAAAAAAAAAGAATGAATTTTATCATAATAAAGTCAATTAAAAATGTATTCCTTCATTTTCTTAGCGTCTTATTTTACTAAAGGCACAAATGTAAAAAATATTATTAGTCTTTTTTTTTTTTTTTTTGAACCAAGGATTGAACTCAGACCCTTGCACTTGCTAGGGAAGCACTTATTCCACTGAGGCATTTCCCCAACCCCTTATTAGTCCATTTTTAAAAAATATTTTTTTATTTATTTTGAGACAGGGTCTCACTATGCAGTTTGGGCTGGCCTTCTGTTCATTTTTGTAACCCCTAGGCTGGTCTCGAACTTACAGAGATCCTCCTGGCTCAACCTTCCGAGTGCTGGGATTACCGACGTGCCCCACCACGCCTGGTTCCAGCGCTGCGGTGGGCGCCCGCATTCTGGGCTGAGACGGCGCTCCCGGACATCCGGGGCTGAGACTACAGGGCATGTGCTTGCCAGGTAGGTGCTTGTGCCTTTGAGCTACCTCTCTGGCCCCTGTTGGTCCATTTCCACATAAAAATTTTCCAATTTACTACTTTTTTTTTTTTTTAACTGGAGATTGAACTCAGAACCTAGTGCTTGCAAGACAGGCACTTACTCATGGCGCGGAGTTACTTCTCTTGCGCAAGACAAAAGGCAAGATTCCTGCCTGCAGGTTCAGATTTATCTCTTGCCCGCATTCCCGCTTACAGTCTTAACCGTCAGATTCTTCTTACCGTATTGCCATCAGATAGCAGTGCCTCTGGGTAAGACTTATCTTTTCTTCTTCTGCCTTGAAATCTGTGTCTGTGCTTGCTAGTGAAAATATTCATGTATTAAGTTGATAGAGTATAAGAAATGCCGCAGAAATATGTCGTTTTAGTATTCTCAGTCTTTTTAAATATTTATTTATGTATTTATTTTGCGAGACAGAGTCTTGCTACGGAGTTCAGGCTGGGCTTGAGCTCACTTTCTGGTCCAGGCTAAATTTGAATTTTCAATGATCCTCCTGCCTCAGCCTCCCAAATTCTGGGATTACAGGAGTGTGCCACCTTGCCTGACTGATATACTCAGATCTTTTAATTAATTAATTAATTTATTTATTTTTATTTTTTGGTGCTGAGGACTAAACCCAGGCCTTCTACCTTGTGAAGCAAATGTTCTACAGCTAAGCAACATCCCCAGACTTTTCAACTGCAGGAAATTGAGAAAAGTACCGAGGCAAGAAAGCATCTCTGCCCTACTATCTTTTTCTCTTAAAAATCTTTATGGGATAGGTGTTGTGACCTAAAACCTGGAGGCAAGACGAGTAACACAGAGAATCCCAGGAAAATCTGAACTAGTAGCTTCTAGCTTCCTTGAGTATTACTCCTAGACCAGACCCTGTTTTACCAGACTTTACTTTTGTGTGACCTGAGTCTTTTGAGTTTTCGCTTCTGAAATGTCATGTGAAACTCACATAAAATAACCTCATGTGCTTTTCCCTTTCAATCTGAGATTCATTATAAAATTCACAACAATGAATGTTATAGTTAGTAAAAAATATATTATGTTGTTTTTCTCTCATGTAAGCCCCAGCCCGTAACATCTCAGGATATAACTATATTTGGAGATAAGACCTCTAAAATGGGGCCAGGGAGATGGCTCAGTGGAATAAGCGCTTCCCTGGCAAGCACAAGGGCCTGAGTTCAATCCCCAGTTCTGC